ATGAAGCCAATTCATAGATAGAGATTCTTAGGAGGCCATGATTGGGAAGGGCCAATGGGAAATTTGGCCAGGACGCCGGGGTTACACCCCTACTCTTTTTGAGAAACTCCCTGGGATTTTTAATGACCACAGAGAGTCAGGACCTCAGTTTTACGTCTCAGCTGAAGGACGGCGCCTGTTTACATTTTACTGTCCCCGTCACTATACTGGGGCATTAGGACCCGCTCAGACTGCAGGGTGAGCGCCCCCTGCTGGCCCCACTAACACCCCTTCCAGCAGCAGCCTTCGTTTTTCCTGGGAGTCTCCCCTCCAGGTCCTGCACACCTGCTGAGCTTCAGTGGGCTGCCAGCTGTGAGTTGCAGGGTGTAGGTTTCCTCCTGCAGTCCAAAGGCACTGGCGTCTGGGAAACTGGCCCTGGTGTGAGTGTGTTTGTCTGTGGGTACCCTGCCATGGACTGGTGTGCCGTCCGGGGTGCATCCTGATTGGTGCCCATTGCTTGCTGGGATAGGGTCTGGCTCCCCCACTTCCCTGTACTGGAACACCTGGTTATATTCTGGGTGAAATTTCCACACAGAAAAAAAGTCCATTAACTATTTGGATTTGTTTGATGATAGGTCTTTATATTTTTCCTCCTTATGAAAAAATACAGTCTTAAATCTAATTTCTTGTAACGTCTCCTGCTACAACATGAAAAAAAAAACACAGAATGTCTGGGGTGTTTTGATTTTTCATTTCCACTTCTGGAAGAACTGAAATTCCTTGTTGTCATTTGTATAGTGCTTTTCATCCTCCACTGAAGTGTCGGAGCCCTGTCAACGATATTCTGAAGCCAGATTGCACCAGTGCCTCATTGCATAGCAGATGAGGTTACAAATCAGTTAGAATCTGCTTCACCAGTTGAGTTCAAGGGGAAATTTGGCAAGACCACAGTTTGCCTAGGACGCGGTTTAGCTGGTTATGATCCCTACTCTTATTAACAGAAAAAGAGCATGGAAACGGGACCTTGCATTCACATTTCATCCACATCCCAGTACATTATAGAGCACAAGGTCTCAGGGCACTATTCTGGGCCACTGGTGTAGAAAAACTGGGCCAGATGGAGGATGGCCTCTCACCAACCAACACCACTTAAAAAAAACAGAAGATACAGCAATGAAGTCCAGACTTCCAATGTTTCTGCATCCTTGTAACGAAAAAGCTTTGTAAAGTGTTATTGCAAGACTTATTAACTAAGACTAGGACGCTGTGACAACCTGTTTTTAGAAATAAAAGCTTTTGCAATTACAGTACCTGAGAAAATAAATCACCATTACATCTTCTCAGGTGCTGATGCTGTCAGGCATGCAAAATAAGAAGTTCAGAAGTTATAGCAGTATTATTCCCTAGAAATCCAGACTCGGAAATTCCTCATTGCTGACCCTAGGACAGGTGGGAGTTGATGAGGCTTGTTTTTTCTCTCTTACGTTGGTGTACTTGTCTTTTGTACGGGTGGATTTGTACTGCACGTACACAGTTGTTGGCTTGAACATTAACTGGGGACACACGACTTCAGATCAGGGGTCTCTCAAACTTGGGGACTCGTGGTCTTCCAAACGAATCCTTCTTCTTAAGAAGGGCTTCCAATCCCACCATAGAATCAGACTGAAGTAATGTAACGATTATAAACAATCATATATGATTCCTAAAATGCCGAAGGGCTGGTCAGCCGGGCAGGTCAGGGTCTGTTTGAAAGAGTGTCAGACAGAGAGCCTGGCCCACACTCTTCTGCAAGGCTGCTGACTTTTTTTCGGTTCTTCTTTCATCTCAGCTCTTCCTCCTCTCGTTCACAGTTCTGTTTCCGTTGACGAAAGCCGAGAGAGCAGCGTACCTTTGGGCCACTTCCAGTTCTCGCTCTGAAAGCTGGGTTTCGTGCTCGAGAAAGAAAACTTCACCAAAGTCGGGGGGGGGAGTATGAAAGCTAATCACCAGACCTGCCATTGACAGGTGTTAAATGAAAAAAAAAACTCCAGCTGACAAGCAATGTAAAGATTTGTAATTAAATAAGATGTTGAATATTTGTCCGTGAAACACAGAAGTGTAGATCGCTGTATATTTAAAAAACAGTAGACATTTAGAATAATGTTAAACTTTCAAACTGTATAAAACTTCATAAGTAAACAGTATATGCTTCAAGAGCCAAATATATTTGTTTGTGTTACTTCATATGTAATACGATGCAAACTTCCTGTTGAAATCCCACGTTCTTCTAGTTTAGACTTGCTTCTTATATATTCAGTATCCAACAGCTTTCGGGCATTATCTTAATTATCAATAAAAAAAAAACATAACGGCAAGCTCCAACTTGTATATTGTACTGTAATATTCTATAAAAACAAAAATTCATGAGCAACAGAGTTGCCATTCAATAAAAATGTGGTTCGAGACCTTGGTCCTCGAGTGTCCCTTTCTGCACCAGACCAACTATCTGTTAACACGAGTAGAAACACTGAATGTGCCCCTAGAACTTTGCTATTTACTGGTGGAAGACCCAGCTCCAGTCGAGTTTTAGAAAGAAAGTTTTTAAGAAGGAGAGAGAGGGAAGCGAAACACAACAGCAAGTGCTAAACAGATTAATTTATTAAGCAAATTAGCTATTTTATCAGCCAGTCTTGAATAAAGAGGGATCAGAGTGCTATCAAGGGGGATACATGATGGAGTGCCAAAGTAATGCTACTCTCCGCTTAATGAACCAGTAGTGCATCAGTTAACGTAAGAGCAGAGGATTCTGGGAACCACCTCCTCCCCCAGGAAGTACCTCCCTCCTTCTCTCCCTACATATAACGCATCAGTGGTGCTTCTGTTCATGCAATGGCGGAGGATTTCTGGATGTATCCTCACCCTTTTAATGAAAGCAGTACCAGCTCCCAGCTGTAAACACACAACATTTGACGGTACAGCTGGGGGCTGTATCTACAAAGACAGAAGCATGGTAACTTCTGTAAAACAGGACTTCCTGGTTTTCAAGCATCACCTGACCAATCGCCTTCCAGCAACTGGTCAGGTGACTGAGGGTGGCGGGACATTTCCCCACCGTTTTCTGAGGAATGTAGTTCAGGCCAGAACTGTCATTTTGCATGTGCAAGGAATCCTCATAACTAACAGACCAACAACAAACAGACCACTGAACGTTTGCCTCCCTTGACTTCACAAATCTTTTCACAAAGACTCTTACATTAAATCAAAGCCTCCAGTGCACATTACTTGACTGTGCCTCCTGGTGACTTGTATGCTATCCAGTAGGAATCATCCATAGAGTCCTGGGTTAGTATCTTATTCAGCAGGCCAGCCAGCTCCTAGGCGAGGTAAAGGTAGACAAGCACCCCTGTACAGAGCCAATAAAGATGTCATTTTATAAATGATCCTAGAAAATCTTTAATAGTTGCATATTTATTGATCCACAGGATTAACAGCTGCTTATATGTGTGTATACATTAATATGCACACACACGCACGCACACACACATATATATTTATATCTACACGCTATCAGAGGCCTCACAATATCTGTACATCGTTGCAAAAAATTGTGAAGGAAATGTGCCACGCGAAGCAACACAATGTTGAAATTCCAAAATTAAAATCATAAAATTACATTTTTTTGGTAAAAAAGATAAAACATCTACTTAGAATTTATCTTGAATAAAATATTCCCTTTATAAAAATACAAAAGCTTGCTTCAGGAAAAGGCTTCAAGCAGTTTTTTTTTTTTGTGTGTGTGTGTGACTGCGTTAAATCACTTCTTCACCTGCCCTGTAAGGAGGGGTGGAGCCGAGCGATTCTGAACCGAGTACAGCCGCATTACGTTCTCTGCAGGGCCATGCGATGAGCAGAGGCCTCTGGGAAGCCTGAAAGTCCTGGGAGTGCCTTCGATACCACAAACGGCGCAGGCGCTTTCTGTAAGGTGCAGAAGCTGGACGCATTTAGGCCGATATCTCACTATGTACATATTCACAACAGAGAAACAACAAGCGCAGTTTGATGTACTGTAGTAGTTAGTAGTTCACAGTTTCTTCAGAAATCTGAGCTTCCCTCCCCTTCAGGTTTGCATTGGTCCTCTTGAGGATACATGCCCCGGCAGGCCGAAGGAGGGTGAAGAGTGGCATTCCTACGACCGGTGCTTCGGCCCCGAGCTCGCCCGGAGCTTCAGAGTCGGCGGGGGGGGCTCCTCGCCCGGTCGGATCAGGGCTGCGTGGCGCCGGCTCCCCCGGGCCCGTGCCTCCTGCTCCTGGAGCTCCTGGTTTCACGGCGTCGGTCCCCAGCCGAAGAGGCGCTCAGCAGGTCTTGACCGTGGACTTGGAGACGTCCGAGGTCTTCATGATGACGCTGGCCCGCGTCTCGTGGCCGGGCCGGCTGCTGGAGGCCGCGGGCAGGGCGGGGGGCGGGATGGCCTGAGACAGGGCCGCCCACGGGCTGTTGGTGTAGGCGATCAGGGGCGACTCCTCCCGGCTGCTGATGACCTTGAAGTTGGCCTTCCCCGACGTCACGAAGGTGGCCATGCTGGGGAGCTGGCAGGTGGTGGCCTTCGCGCCCGCGCCGATGAAGAGCGGCTTCCCCTCCGCCGGCGCCGGCGGCCACAGCCGCGTGTCCTGTCGGGCAGAGCAGCGGGCGTTAGCGAGGAGCGCCAGGACAGAGAGCCCGCCTTTCCATACGGGCGCAACCAAGTGCGCAGGAGCTTAACGTAGGCCAAAAGCTGAATTCGGCTTAACCGTATCCCTCTTAAATTTCACACCAGGTGAAGATTCAAAATCTACAGCCAAAGCATGGATTCGTTGGATGAATTCTGTATCGTGTTTGGACTTTACGTCACAACCGATGGTTTCACGCTGTTGCGCTGCATGTCTGCGGTTTGCCATGGGAGCTTGGCTCCAATTTATAGAGCGAAGCCAACCCTCCAGGAGTCTCCCGTCCCACTTCCTTTAACAAAGCAGCGCTGGGCGAATGAGCATGAAACCAGAAACGGCTACATTAATGAGCTAGAACTTCGATGAATGAAGTAGAGTGGAGATGAAGTATACACACACTTCTCTAGTGGAACAGCACACACCCATGCACACAGTATGGGAGAAAGCCAGCCCTGCAGTGAATGGTTCACCAACACAGTGGAATTTAAAACAACCACAGACCTCCACCCACACTCGTCATCCCATTTCCCCTTTCAATTTGTCCGTCTCGGGTATCACAAAGACTCAATTAATGGTGCATTTTCTGCAGATGGAGAAAATCAAATACAAACACAGCTTGTGTAGTGCTGGTTTCTTCTGCGTGCACGTGTTTTAGCACTGTTCACAGTGTGAGCTATCCCGAGTTTTGCTGTCTAACTTGATCTGCCTCGTGAGCAGTATAAACCTCTTACAAACATACACTTTCCTCTGGTTTTCAGTCACCCGTTTGTCTCCCTGAGCTCCCAGGTTTGAACTGGATGTCAAGTCTCAACCAGGGTGTTGAAGATAAGATGACAAAGCATTCCTGATTCCCAGCTTTCTCCAAAGACAAGGCCTGTTTTAAGTACACCTGTTTTTAGCTCACTGTAAGGCCTGATGTGAATCTACAGGCTGTCTGACAAAAAAGCAGCCAAGAATCAGCAGTTCAGTGAGCCCCGGATATATGACACAGCCAGCCATAGTCCAGAAGGAGAAGATAAACACAGAAGCTCATGTCAAAGCTGGTATTCCTCCATCAGATATCAGAGAGGTCATGGGGTTACACATTAACCTCTCCAACTATGCTTGCGGTTCAGTTTTTTAGACTGCAGTGAACATTAACTGTTCTAATGACACTCAGATTCACAGCAGTGTGTAAAATATCTACTCTGCACTAGCAAAAGAGGGAAATCACTGTCCCATTAGACAGGGGTTTCCAATCCTGGTCCTATCTGTTACTCAGTTCATCTGTTAACTGAATAAGAGGATTCATTTGAACTGTTTTTAGTGACTAAACATGTAGGAGATTGCTTTTTAACTGTTGCAATTCAGAAGTAAAATAAAATCCCTAACATTGGAGTTGAAAAAAAAACTTTGCAAAAATTCCAATCAAACAACTTCAATTAAGGCTTTAATTAAGTAGTTCAACTGAGCTGGAATAAAAACTCACAGGTGTGGGCCAGCAGGACAGGAGTGCCAATTTGCCCCAGCCATAAGACAAATCAATGATTTTCAAGTGTTTCAATATGACTAACGTTAGATATTTCCTGCCTTTTCCTGTGTTTTGTACAACATGTTATGTTTGGTATACAAAGCAGAAGGGGAAAAAAATGCAACCTTCAATTTTGAAGGTTTTAAATCCCTTTCTGTATTCCACAGCCTTTCAAAATAACCTAGTACAAAACTGCTATTCTAACAATCGATACAAGGGGCTTATTATTGTGTATGGATTAAGTGAAAGACTTAAGTGAAAAATAGCACTGATGATGTTGATGTGATAGCACAACATACAATTGCCAAGAATGGTCAGTTTTATGTTCTGCACTTTTATTACACAGCCTTGTACAGCATGTTTCTCTTCAGGGAGAAAGCAAGTCTTTGCAATTATCTTTAAGAACTAATGTTTGGAGCTAATATCATTTTAGAGCGTTGCAAACCCCAAATAATTTATTTATTGTACTCCTGAGCTGCTGCTATTGAAAGGACAAGATGTCCATAAGTAAGCAATCAATTAAGTCTGTATGCAGAAGCCCTGACCAGAATTAGTGAGCAAAGCCAATTGAGTAGGCACATAAAATGAACCAGAAATGTTGGGGGTCAACTGGTTTCTCACAAACTGTATCAAAATATATCTGACATACACTTCAAAGTACAGTGTGCCACCTTCAAACTGGCCCAATTAGCATTCTTATTTGAGTGCCACAGCTATGCAGATGAAAAACGGCTGATTTTAAACACGCCCATTCGCAAACACACTGCTGTTTACAGCCTGCAGCTGTGGATCTGTGAAAACAGTGACCATTACAGAGCTGCTTACCTTTTTAGTGTCTTCATCACTGTGCACACTGTCAGTATCGCTTTCTGTGGGGAGAACAGAAGAACAATGAAACTAGAAAAAAAAACTGCAGTCTCCAGTTTAGCAGGTTATGGCAGAATAACCTAAGAATGGAGAAGACAGGACTTCCTCTTTTGAAGAACAGAAAGAGAGAAACCAGCAGCCAAAAATTCTTCTTAACGTTAATAAAACAAACGGTTGTTTAAATCTTTGTTTTACCACGTCATGGAATTCGCTATTTGTAACTGTGTCAGTTATTTCAGCCGAGTTATTTAAAACTCCAGTCCCTGAATGTAATTCTCACACCTAAACCACATTCTCCACTGAGGAGAGAACACATGAGGTTATTTTGAGGATGATTATTTTGAATGTATAAATTCTGAAATTCAGCACTCACAGAGGTTAATAACTTTGTTATGCTGGAAACTGGTAGCTTTTCAAATAAAGATACTAGAAATGTATTTTAAAAATACATTTTATAATGTTCAGACCCAACAACTTAAGACAAGTTACCCCCTAAAATCTGAAGTGTCTGGCTTAAATCGGAGTACAGTATGTTCATTCCTCTTACAATAGTGCTGACACAGCAAATCCCTGACCATCTGACCATCACTGATCACAGTACCGAGTACAGATCATATCAGATAGTTTGCCTGAGAAATGTACTTCCCAGCTTGTAAACACAATTTTCCAGATGTATGTTTTTCTGACTCCACAAAACATTTTAAATTTTTAGATTCTGCTCAGAGAAACTGGAACATCTTTTACGTATGACGCACATTTGTAAAGCATGGCCTTTCTTTTCTTTCTTCCTGGTGAAGAGACACAGACACTGCACCGTCTGCCGCGCAGAAATATGTCTCTTTAAAAGAGGAAGAGGCGGCACAGACTTCCAACTTCTCTACTGCGGGCTTACTTAAGAGATGCAATGACTAGCTCTCTTCAGACCTGTGCCAGTGTGTGTGGAGATGAAAACAACGCAGAACAGCTACCCAGATAATGCTGAACAGGTAAAGGAATAGGGGTATCAAATATTAACACATGGTGTTCACCACAAGCAATTAAAAAATGCCTCGAGCTTCAGCTCACAATAATGACCTGCTTCACTGTGGGGGTTAAAATGCTCCAGTTAACACCTCCACGTCGATTCCAGCGAGAGAATCCCTCAGTGTAAAAGTGATGCCCCCTTACTTCTTACTACTGACCTCCATAGGAAGACACGGGCGAGATCTGCAGCGGGTAGGCGTGGCTGGAGCTCACGGACTGGTCTTCGTTCTCCGTGGTCACCTCGATGACCTGGCACACGTCCGGGGGGTTGCTGATGATCAGCTGCTCCTCCAGGTGACTGCGGGGCAGTGCGCTCTGGGGCTCTTCAATTAAAAGGGTTTCGGGGGAGTAGGGTTAAGGTGAGAGTTGAATGAAACGTGAAAGCCCCATTGCCCTTGCTGCGATTTTTAGGAAAGGAAAAGCAACTTCACTGAGAAATGCATTCCTACTGTCTCTCCCATCACCCTCTCCCCATCCCCCAAACCCCCCTGGGTGGTCACTGATCCCTCCCTCCCCGAACACTGGGGACCCTAAAAATCCCCATCCGACAGTGGTGTTTAGAGATGGGGTTTGCCAGTGCTCCCCGTTTTCTCCAACAGTCCCTCCTCCGCTCACAGGGCCTCGCGACACCAAGAGGGACAACAAGGCCCTTCTTCTAACACTGCGAGTGCCACCCGTAATATTCATTTATTGATCAGATGTACTTTTCCTGCCTAAATTAGGCTGCTCTGTGCGCCATAAAATGCACTTTTTTTTCTTTTCAACCTCCCTGGAAGCTCCTAGATGTAAGGCCAACCGAGGAAATACCCAAGAATAAAACACAGCATATGTAATACTGTCCTCCTCACTCATATTAACCTCACTTTTTGCTTGCGGAGAGCAAAAATAAAGCTCTTGACCTTGCTGTCCCCACACACTGGGAGGGGACTGTATACATACTGTACGTGACGGTCAGGGGGCCACAGCAACAACACACGGCCCATTTTCACCCAGCTCAGTTCCTGCTCTCCTTCGTGTGCGATTCCCAAGCCACCTGGAGGTGACCGGCGGCGGCTGTGGGCGCGAGGGCGCCAGCAGACTCACCGGTGAGGCCTACGACAGTGCTGTCCACCAGCTCCTCCACCTTCAGGGCCACGGCGGCCGTGTTGGGGTCCTCGGAGGCGGGCACGAGCTCCTCCACCTGCGGACGCGCGCGCGAGAGAGAGAGAGAGAGAGAGAGGGCGCCCGTTCAGAGCCTTCACAGGGCCTGCGGGGAGACTCGCTCCCCCCCCCCACGCGTCGGCCGTCCGCCGGCAGGATCAGAGCCCTCTCCCCGACGCAAAGACGCCCGCGGGGATACAGCCGCGAACGGCCTTGTCTGCCGCGCCGGGAGGGCTCGTACTGGTCGGCCCCGACAAGCGCCGTTTTATACCTCACTGTCCCCAACTGCCAGAGGCCTTCCCGCCCGGACCGCTGCTCAACTCGTGATCCAGGCCCGTCAGGAACGCAAACCCACATGACAGGAGGTTTCTGTTATCGAGCCGCACTAGACTCAGCCGTAAAGGGGGGGGAAAAAAAAAACTTTTTCCTTGTCTACATGCTGTGACTGCTGATAACGGGAATAAATGGAGCAATTGTGGAGGACTGTGGTGGCAGCTGTTTCGCACAGCGAGCTCACACTCAGAAATTTCATTCCATCTCAGGCTAATGGCTCCTCAGACGCTGCTCTCTTAAGACACAGCAAATGAAACTCGGATCATGCTCGCAATCATTCCCGAGGAAAGGGAACTGGGCCCCGTCCTCTACCCTGTACAGTACATGCTTCACGCACACATTCGGAGACAAAATCAGCTCTCCCACACGCAGGAGATTACCTTGATTCTTTTGGGCTTTTCTTCTTTCTCAGTTTTTTTCTTTCCTGAAAGAAAAGGCGACAGTAGTAACAACGGGAAGAGAAGATGCCAGCGGATGAACCAGACCCCAACCCAAACGACATCAGACGGCAAATGGAAACCATCTGGGTAAAGTGGGGCTTTTAAGATCTTTTTCCTTCCTTTCTTCTTCTCAACAACAGAGGTACTTCACTACCAGCTCAAATGGTGTCACTTCAGAACATAAAATATACAATAAAAATATCAAAACTAAAAGTTTTGAAATACAAACTGCAGATTTGTCCAAAAACACACAATCGAGAACCAAGAAAAATGTAACATGTAAGGTTGAGCTTGTGTGTCTACCATTACATTTGTCCCGTGGTGCCCTCCGTGCACAACATGTTACAAACATCCTTTAATCCTCACTTAGTGAACAAAAGACTGCGTTTCAGATCACGCTGTTCGTAGAGTGTATATTTAGTAAACATCAAAGCAGGAAAAGAAGTCGATATATGGTGCTGTTCGGCTGGAAACAAGACAGTCCAGACTCAGCATGGAAATACAAACCACAGTGAAAGCCACAGGACATTACACTGAGCCGGCGGTTCTGTGCCCATCACAGGAAGTGCCTGGCACCCCTGTCCATGGCACTGCGCTCTTTGCCAAGGTGAAGGCCTACAAGACTGAATGAGAATGCCACCAAGGCTTGTAACGCGATTACTACACAGCTGTGTATCTGCTTTGCTTCAAGCAACACTGTTTATATTGTTTCCATGGCAAATCAAATTATCCGGGCCCTGACTCTGTTTATTTAAGTCTCACAAACACTGAAAGCCTGGGCCACATCCCGTACCTGCTCAGCACTTTCTTAATGGGTTAACGCTGTAACGAGCTTCAGCAATAATAAACAAGCTTTAAACTGTAAGGTCTACCGTGGATTAAAACGACAAACCTACCAAAACCGACCCCTCCGTCACCTTTGTCTGCAAGACTCAAAGAAAGATTACTTCTGGATGCACCACAAAGAGCACAAAACTCTTCCTATGTTTACACAGCAACTGCTGATGCAATCTCCTGTATTTCTATAGAAACTGAAACCTTGTTTGGACTGGAAGTTAAAAGCCAGGAGCTGACCTTAACAACAACTCCAAGACAAATACGCCTGCACTCCCGTACTAAAGGAGAACATTTCCTACCTTCTGAAAAGAAGGAGCGCTTCTGTCTCCGTTTTTCAATGTCTACAGCTCCGCGTTACAGAATTGAATTCAGCTAAAGATGGATGAATGACGGGTCACCTTTCTTTGTGGGTCTTTCAGTCGGTGACAACATTTTGTAGACCCTGAAGGCATTGCTCCCCTTCTTAATGCTCTTGTCCTTGACCTCCTCGATGTCGGGCAGGGAATTCATCGCACACCGGAAGTTGGCTTTCCATGTCTTTGGGTCTGGTTTGTCCACACCGGGTTGATATTTCCCTAAAGAGGTCACACAGTAGGAATTACATTCATTCCAGTTGCTCGTAAGAGAGGTCAGGCCCCTGTTCCCTGAAAGGTGGAGACTTTACAGCCCGCAGGTTACAGATATTCATTTTCTAATGCGTTCTACAGCCCTCTCTGTGTATCTCTGCTGTGAGCGCTTAGATTTATCCATTTATGTTTTTCGAGGGATAATAACATAAAAACAAGAACACCGACTACCCCTGACAAACAGCATCTGAAAACCCTTCTTCAAGCTGTTTGCCAGGATGCACTGTATTCAGAAAACAAGGCAGCACTTTTTTTTACCCCTGTGTGGTTTACCCCTATAGGTAAAGGTAAAAGTCCTTCATGAATCACAGAGGAGCCAGAAGCCAGTGTTGTTTCTCCAGTACAGAACTCTGCTATTCTGGATACCAGGCCACAAGAGGCCAATTGATCTCCCTGCAATGGTGGATCTCTGCTTCCATCATGCAGACTGGTGGTCACTGAGACAATGAAGGGGTATAACACCTCACTCATTGCAGGGTGTGCGATGGGAGTCTTGAACCTACAACCCTCACGTAACAGGGCCACCACCATTCTGAGCTCTTCCCTACAGGCCAGCAGCTCTGTCTTAATTCAGCACTGGGCCTGGATGAAATCAAACCTTAAACCCACCTGGAAATCACAGATTATTTTTTTCTATCGCAAATGGAAATCTAAATTCAGTTCTTTACAGTGGCTTTATCCCGCTTCTTGCAACAGAGTCTTCTTGTTTCTATTGAATGGAAACTCACTGCCAAGGACTGTTCTATTTTCTTAATCAAGCCCTGCCAGTAAATCGGGCTGAAGCTTAGATTTAACTGGGCCTCAGAACGAGGGGTTCACCCTGTCAGTCGCCGAGACCTCCACTCTTCCCTCAGCTGGCAAGGAAAGTCAGGAGTCCTGCCACCACGTCCAGTACACTCCTGCCGATTCTTTCCCAGAGCCTCGTGCGTTTGCCCTCTCTACATGTGGTGTTTGTGGACACCTCTGTGTGCCTCCCAGAGGACATCTCTCTACCACCTGAGGGCATTACGTAGACAAGAGCGCTTTGGGCATTTTCAGTACTAATATATTTTTTATCCCTTTCTGCTCCATCCATCCATTATCCATCATCACAGACATTTATTCCTACTGAGGATCACATGGTCCCAGAACCTCCCCTGGACTGGAATCACAGGGCACACAGCTCGGACTGCACCCCTGTGAGGGTGACTAATCCCCACACACACGAAAGCCCTCCATGTGCACCCCGAGCCCAAGCGTAGTGAGACATCAGAGCTAATACCTCACATCATTCAGCCAAGGCATTTTGACCACAATTGCAGAAGTCTTCTATACTTCCTTTCACAACGCGACATCACACAACTCATTACAACGTAGTCTACAATGAAGGGCTACGTAAAAAAGCTAACATTTATGCAAGAATACTACCATTCAGTTTTTCTACTCAGAGACGATAACAAAGGGCGGGTTGCGAGGTCATATTTTGCTGAAGATCAAGGCTAGGTCTCACAATCCCAGAACTAGAAATGGAAAATGTCAATTACCAGCAGCCTCATCCTACCCTAGAGGACAACGCTATTTACAGGTCTCATCACACTGCTGAGCACCGCACGCGAACCAATTCGAGGGGGAGACTCTGCACTCACATTTCACTTGGTAATGGCTCAGAGAAGAAAACAAGCTGCTTTCAGCCATCTGGCAGTGACTTCCTTCCTCGCACCCTGAGAAACAGATCCGCCCGTCTGTCTTACCCTACAGCCAGTTAACCAGCACGCCACACTCTTCCACGCCTTCAGGCCTTTACCTGTATGAATGGCCCAGTTTCTAAATAAAGGGGCGTCTTTCTCCACATCCCACCCATGCCGAGCTGCATGCATCCATGGAATCTGGAAAATCTTCTTGTCCTGTTAGTGAAGCACACGGAGGACAACTTGTTATTTGGGTTTAAAGTTCACCCCCATCCAGCCCTGTCACTACAGTATCCCCTTGCACTTACACAGCCCTTCCTCTCACAGATGATCCTAAAGTGCTGTTAACTGGGGGAGCGCCCCCCTGCCCCCCATCCTTTGGCTCAGCGCAGCCCCTTCCAGGCTGACGCAAGGGCAGCTACACAGGAGCTGCACAGCAGAGCCGGTGGTAGCAGAGGGAGACGTTGAGGGTCAGGGGGGGACTTTCGGAAGGGCAGACTGGACAAGCCCAGAGTGGAATTCTGCCCGGACAGACTGGGACCCTGAATGGCATCTCCTACAGCACAGTGTCCCCAGCCACCCTACTGAGGTTTCGTTTGGGAGCCTCTGGTCCGGCGCCCCCTCCCGCTGCGCCGTCAACGCTTACGGCAGCAACTGCAGCCTTCCGCGAAGGGCCTCTCGCCCCGGGACTGTCTGGTCGCAGCCCCGTGTGGCTCCTGAGATCCGCTGATCGGGGGGGACGCACTGCTTGCCTTGTTTCGATTCAAGCTCCCTGCTTCTGTTTCGCCCCCCTTCGGACCGCACAACACAAGAGTACACCCACAAGGGCACCCGTGTCACCCCTTAACAGCAAGAACCCCAAATAAAGAGACCGCGGTATGCGCAGGTGGCCTGTGCTACCGACTGGACTGAGTTGGTGTCCTCTCTCTTCCCTCCGAACACTAAAGCAGCTCTCCAGCTCTGGCGTTTGTCAGTGGAGTTTTCCCTGCTTCGCACTCTGCCTCCATTAAGACAGCGCCGCACAGGGCTGTGGAGGACAGAAAGATTCGACGATAAACCTGAATCTGGAGCTTAATCCAGATCCTAGAACATTTCTGTCAGCCAAAAATACACAGAGACCAAAATAATTACTGAGAGGAGGGGAGCAGATGCCGCAAACATCTTGGGTATTTCAAGCAACGGGAGTGTTATTCAGTAAAGCTGATCTCTTTGCTTTCTGCAGGTACAGTACAAGAATAGGAACGAGGTCTTAAAAGCCTTGAGTCAACACTAAATACAATCAGGGTCCAGGCTTTTATCAAACAATCATTAAATGGCATTTCTGTTCTGGCCAAGAAGAATACACAAAAGTTAATAGTAATGCAGCAATCAGGAACTTGAACAGCTTGTTTTAAAGTCAAGCAGCACGTGGAAAGTTCTTCAGCAAGTTTCTCCAAAATCACAGGCTGAAATCTGAACTCATGGCCTTTCGGCTAGTTTTACTGGTTTATGGAACGAGCACGCCTTAAATAAACAGACCCACATTCAACACATTTTAAATGCAAATGCTATTCATCTCTGGGAGGGATTTATGAATGACTGAAGCATACTCCTGTTCCTAGCTCTGGGATAACTACAAGGTGAATTTAGTAGCCTAGAAAGCCTGACTTCATGTTAGTAAACTCATACTGGGGCAGGCCAGTCCCAGGGAGATTTAAATAGAGGTACTGTATGTGCAGCAGTGCCTCTGGCCTCCAGGACGCTCATTGCGATGCGGCGTCATGCAAATATAAACTGAAACCAGCGGCGGTAGCGCTGAAACAGGACCTTGAGCCGGAGCCTGCTGCTGTGACGGGAGCCTCAGGCGGAGCTTCTGTGCTAAACGCCGGAATCTGGAAAACGCCAATCCTGTCCGTTTAACCCCCTTCCGAAATTCCCGGGTGGGAAGGAGGCTGGTCACCGCGCACCCATCACGCGCGCAGGCCGACACGCTTTCACCTCTGGTTTCCGCCCGCGCGGGAAACTAGGCTACTGGCAGGGGGGCGCCTGCTCCCGTCTCCGGCCTCACTCACCCTGTTCAGCCACTTCAGTCCCGGGATTTTACTGGAGTTGATCTGCTCTTCCAGCCACGGCCTCATCCGCATTCTTTCGACTGGCATGGTACCCTGCGGGGGGGGAGAGAGAGAGAGAGCGTTACCCTGCGCCACTGACAAGCAGGCCCACAGGCCGCGGCGGGGCAGGAAGAGATCACGACCCATCTGGGAAGCTGACGGCAGGGATGGAGACGCGGCCTTTCGGGGATGAGAGGCGTCTTTCTCATCCATCACACAGTCAACGGGCAACTCTCAGGAAGAGGTTGTGTCAAAACTGTTTACATTAGACTCCATCCCCACGCTTTCAGTGCCCACCCGACTCCTTAAGAACATCTCCTGTATTTCTCAGCGTTTACAACTACTACATTCACGCCGAGAAGAAGATATTTTAAGAGTGGAAAGTTTAGGCAAATCATTTTTTTCGTCATCCTTTCAAAGCCGAGTGAGCTGACCTTTTATCTTCTGGACTTCGAACAGTCGCTCTGTTCATGACAGCCATAAACAGGCCCCATTTACTGGTGTTCGGCTAGGACAGAAACCCCAGCCTTGTAAACCGCGCAGATGTCAACAGTCTTGAAACGCAAGACAGTCTTCAGTTATTTACAGAAATACCACAACAGTGAGAACACCGCGTTCCCAGGTACGGGCAAGAAAAAGCCACAAGTGTTGTAGCACTTCTGCAATGGAACACGAAGCAAGAACAGCAGTGTGCACAAACTGTACTAAAACATGCCTTCGGGCACAAAGAAATCTATCAAAATGATATTCACTGATTCTGTAAATTATTTGTGGTGATCATGGCCCTGTGGTTCTTTTTCCCCCCACAGATTTACAGATTCACAGACCATTCCAGAAACCTCCCCCGATCTCTGTCCACTCTGACCCATGTCTGGGACCCTCGGACCCACAGCCCTCAGCCCTGGGAGTTGAAAATGACCGTGAGTCTGCAGTTGCTCCATTAAAATTAAGTATGTCTGCATTCAAGAGCATTTTACTTCAACAAAAGCACTGTATGAATAATTGAACAAAGAATGGCATAACGGTGCTCAGAAATCATGTGTAAAAAAATTAAAACCCACTATAGGACCTCCTCCTAATTTTCCTGGAAAACACACCACTGAAAAACACAAAGCAAACGTTCCTCGTAAGAAACCACACTAAACACCACAGGAGCAGTAAGTAATGGCAAACAGCACATCTAAGATTTATACTCTTGCTCTGAGCCTGATCAGTCCTATTACCCCTGTCTCTGGAAAGACTTTGCACAGCCTTTTAAATAGATGGCTGGAAAGGGGCTCTTTTTGGCTACAAGAACTTCCTTTTTTTAGATTAACGACACAGAAACTCCATTAAATCCATCAGAACTAAGGAAACCACTGTCACATTGAGGAACAGCGAAAGAATATCTGACTTCCAGCACACCTCCTCTACCGGCCAGGCAAAATGAAACACTCTGGAATGGTTTACTTACGAAACGGGACCGTGTGTCTGCAGTCATTAATCATGAAAATTACACCAACAGCTTATCAACAGGTTTCAGTCTCATGCTGGGGCTGACTTTAGGATGCATTGTTTATCGTTTCTAACATTTCTTACTAAATCAATTTACAGCTTAAAGGTAAAGAGGTTGAACTAGCTTTCAATATAAAGTAGAGTACATTTTAAAAGCAATTTGCACAGTAATGCGATTCAAGTTTTACAATTTCCATAACAATGAAAGCAGGACACCAACAGAAGTTGACAAGCCGTACTAAACTTAATACAAATTTATAGAAACTCTCCTTTTTCCTTTTCAAACACATTACTCCAATCACCAATAGACTTCTTTATCCTTCATTCTAAAATCTAAAACATGTAAAGTCTCTCTCTCCACATCCAGTTCATAAGCAGATTCTCCTTGTTTATCTTCAGACCACGTTAGTAACAGCATCTCTTGTTATTGGGCCAGGAAGAGAAAGTCAGGAGTGCTGAATGTCAGTACAACAGGAGTATAACTGGCTGTCCTGAAAGATTTCTATATTGGAAGACATGCCTCTCGCAATGTGTAGAGTATCCACACTCAGATTGAAGTATCAAGCCAATGCAACACACTGCCAGCCCCCAAGAAAACATGTATTTAAATACACAACCCATTGTACATTAAATTATGTAATAATGCCAACATTAATATTTTTTGTTAATTTATTATGATTATTCCTTGCATTTTGTCATCATGTCCCTTCTCATTCAGTGTCCTGTCCTTCCCACGAACTCCACTGTAAAATAAAAAAAAATCTGCACAGCTGGCACCTACACTTCGCCAGTGACACCAGGACTTCCACAGCAGTCCTCTGACCAGCTCCGCAGTGGCACAAGGGAGAGAGAAGGACAAGGCGCGATCACCTCCACACAGGGGCACAGGGGCTCTTCTGCACTTGCAAAAGCACCAGCTGCTTTCCTACCCAGACATCCTGCTCGTAGAAAACGAAACTCCAGATGCGAGCACCCCAGGCTGCATCCCGCACCTGTGGAAAGTGTCCGCGAACAGATGCAGTGTGCTGTTCCTGTACAACCATCGTGACTGCAATCGCCCTCCACACAGATGCACACAGCGACACTGTGTCGCTTCTGCACGGCCCCAGAAAGCAGAAGGACAGAGGGCTGGACAACTCCAGCGACCTTCCTGACCGCACTGAGCAGCGCTCGCCCAAAGACGCGTGTCTAATTCCAGCCCCTCGATTTGAATCCCCACAATCATCTCTGGAACGCCTCGGAGGCTGGACACAGATCTGTCTTCATCCGCTGCTCTGAACAGTGAGCGGGTGAGGTGGGCCAGTTCAGTCCATCACCTTTCCCTGTTAGTAGGAAGGCTGGGACACTGCATAACAAAGGAACATGATGACAAAGAGCAGACATTCTTAATTTATAATGTTCCCAGATTCCGCTTTGCTTTATTGTGACTGTGAGAAGATGAGGAGGAACAAAAATTCAGACTCAGGTGGTTTATTGCAATATTTACTATTCACTTGCTAGTGGAACATTTCTCTGGGTCAAAGTCCATCAGTCTTAACCGATGCAGCCAATGACCAAAAACATATCAGAGCAGATTTAACTAGGGGTAATGGTGTCTTGAATTTTGTCTCTTTTCTGGCTACCTGGGTAAATGTCTCCTTGGGCATCTAAGACAGGAGGCCGAGGTCATTCCACCCATCCAGTTCATTTTCTATGGGTTTCGGCTTCAACAACATGGTTGGGAAGCTTGTTCCATGCTCCATCAACTCTATGTGTAAGGATGTTCCTCCTGTACTCAGTTTAAATAAAATTCCATGTAGTGTCCACTTACAGTACGTCCTCTGATTTGTTTATAAAGAGCAGACAGTTTCAAGACCCTGGCACTAAACTGCATACAAGGTTAATATTTGATCATAATGGCTGACCTGCTATTATATTCAGAAAACACCATAAAAGATCAGCCTGCCATAGAAATGCAGTCAGTTGTGCAAGGAAAAAACAAAAAGACACGAAACCTATCTCTCCTGTGGTTCCAGACAGGAATTTGATCAACAGAACTTTGATTTTCAGAAATGAATAAAGCTCTAAAATATGTTACGTTATCATTAGTTTTATTATAATCTAGTTATTATTGTATGTTTATTGTAAACTTACTTATCTCATCAAAGATACATTAAAAGACAAAAAACTCTTGGCAAAATCTCAATTAACAAGATACTGACTGAGATACCTCAGAAGGAATTTTAAAAACCCACCCTGCACAAGGAAATGTTTATGTTCACATAACAACATGAAAATAATTTCAAGCAACGCAAAATGTCACACGCTGCACAATCAAAATGTTACGTTAGTAGCTATTATACTGCACAGAGCCACTCTGAATCTAATCACAAAATGTAATCACTAAATTTAAACTTGTTAAAGAGCAAGGGTTTCCTAGTGGAGTCCTGTTGGGATTTGCTAAGCAGTAAAGTGCAACTGATACAGTTCTGTGAGGGAAAGCGCTGGAATTATTTAACCAGGGTTCTCCGAGATGAACTTCCTACAACTTCCCAGACCCAGGCACCATTCAATGACATCAGTGAGAGAGATGCTCCATTCCTCCAATCAGTGCTAGCTCTCATGTCAGTCGCTATGGAGCTTGCAGAGAGTCAGAAGACGACAGAGACCCTAATGGAGGAGCTCGGCCTCCTTTCTCCATTCTTCCCCTACAGTTCAGGAGTTGTCACTGAGAACCATGAGGCAAAACAGAAAAAACTGTGATTCCAAATAGGGCTGGGCGATATGGCCAAAAACATCACGACAAGAAATTTCATATCAGTCGATATCGATAATTATCACAATAACTGTCAAATCATTATTTCTTTCAAGTTTAAAGGCAGATTTTTTCTCCTGAGTGAAAGTTGAAGAAACCAGACAGTTAACTGGTAAATTAAACAACTTTTTATTTTAAGAACACAACAAACACTTGCCAAACAGCAGAAACCTTAAACAAATCTGTCAGCTGCCCGGTCTGCAACACACACGCGCACTCGCGCAGTATTTTGTGTGCATGCGCATATCTTGAGCAAAGCATAAACATATATATCGAACATTCATCGCACTTTTGTTAAAATTATATCGAGGAAAATTATATCGCGATAATTATCATTATCAAATTACCGCCCAGCTCTAACTCCAAATCTTTGGCCTCAGAACTCTAAAACCTTTAATTTATCAGGGAAAGCAAATAAAAGGAATATGTTTTGCCCCTCCTCTGTTTTCACAAATTTTAGAACATTTTTTTTCTAGACGCATTCTACGGAATATATTGCAGGAATTGTTTTTTTAGAGAATTCACAACTTTATTATTTATTAAGAGAACATGATAGCACAATAATAGAAATATTTTTTAAATAAACAGTAAAATTCAACACACCACAAAGTTAATATCTCTTGATTTAAGAGTTGCCATTTGTGTGTGTGCGTGGTTGGCGAGTGTAAATGTTTGAGATTTGAAACTTGCTCGTTTTGCACACCACACCTGCTTGTCTTCTGCAAATGTGAAAAAAATGAACTGGGATTTTTGTTACATCACTGCCTACAGTGCAGCGCAAAAACTGCAACACGAGAATTATTCTACTGATTTAATTTAATATTTTTAATAATAAATGCAAAGAGGTGCAAATGAGTTGTCTTTATCTATATAAATCTTAAAATTATTAGACAAGTTTTCACTATTTCCTATATTTTAACATATATAGCCTGCTGGCATTTCTAAACTGAGCACCCCATGTGTCCTAAAATAAACCACATTCACTCTGATAAACTAGCACTCCTGAGACAAGACTATTTTCAATAAAAAGCAGACTGCTATTGACCTATTTTGTTTTTTTCCCCTGCTTTTCAGTCCTTAAGAATGTCATTTTAACATCTTTGATTTCCATAATAGAGGAGCAGAAACATGGTATTCATGCAGGACAGATACTGCGCCATCTAAGAGTTTCTCAAGACAATTACTAGAAACTCACTTTTAAATAAGACACTCACACCGAAATCGAATTCCAGTGGCATTTATGTGAAGATATGGACTTCAATGAAATGTGAGCCACAATCTCCAAACCAAAGCCAGAACTGGGGCTGGGTTTTTTACAAGCACCACATAAGAGCACTGCAATGGAGCTCAAACCTTGAATGCTGGCTTGTCAGAAGTGCATCCAAAATGAAGCAGTTTCTTTCCCACCATGTGAAAGTAAATGACAGAAACTGAGGAAAAAATAACATCCCTTATTTCATTTCTGCATGCCGACAATTTTCTATCTCATGACTAAAAGGCTATTATTTTTAGGAATCACCGAGTGGGGGTCATACTGAATGAAGCTCAGAAAAGATGGTCTCAGGTACAAGTACAAGTACAAGTGGTATCTGGTGGAAGACAACAGAAGAGCATCGATCTCCACATTCACTGGATGGCCATGGGTTACATTCCTCCTAAAGGATGCCATGCTACATTAAAACATTGTAAACATTAACAACCTCCTGCTTGGCAACTGCATGAGCATTATTTTTTCATAGGTAATATTATTTCACGATGAACACTTAATCCCTCCATAACGCCATCGTGTTCGTTAGTGACACTCCGGATCACGTTGGTCACTATTAAAACTGCAATTTCAGCTTGATTCTGAAACACTTCAAAGGTTCTGTAATTAGAAGCACACACACACAGCTTTCGGCCTAAATGTACTGCCTTTTGAAAATGTCAGAGGCACCTGAAACCGCAGTTATATTTGAATCTTTCACTTACTGTACACACAGTCTCAGAGAATTTAATATTTTTTTTGAAAGTCCCAGAGGGTTACATTTATCTGAAGGGAAACCTAATGATAAACTTGGAAAACTGCCAAGTTAAAAAAACGTATTTTTGCCTTGCAATTCACAAATAAAAAAAGCCAGCTATTTTTCAAGTTACTGTTCCACCACACACTAGGTAATTTAATTGGTCAGATTTATTTTGCCAGGTGGTCAGATTATATCCTACAGTTAACTTTAACCCTTGACATTAAACACACACACATCTCATTATTGTTGTTTGTAATTCCAGAGCAAAACAACTAAAATAAAACACAACTTCTTACGGACAAAGCGAAAAAACTGCTTCTCTTATAAGGAAATAAACTGAAATGAGTAGCCTACCAACCAGAAACCCCAAAATATGCTATTGTGACCTCATTTAAGAGTCAAAAACTAAACACTAACAAGCTTGGAGAGCATTAAAGCTACAGAAACATCTACGTTCTCCTGTACTCTCTGAAAAGACCTACTTCTTCCTCAATATACAGCAGTCTGATTTAATCTGTGAACACTTCTCTCTCGATGTGGCAAGCAGACACAGACACTGATACGTACCATTTAAGTGCTATATAAACATTTGCCAGTTGATGATTAAATGTAACCCACAATGAGGGATACACACATCTGATTTCCATCTTACCCCCGTGTGAGATAGTACTGGTCTCAGAGATTTCAATCTAATATCTAAATGCTTTCAAGGCATGTGCAAGTAGATTATTCAGCCCCCAATGTGCAGCAGAGCAGATATGGTAACAACAGTCACAATTAGAAGAAACTTAGTCACCCAGAAGCAGATAAGAGCGAACACATAAATGTCTTCTCTAATTTGGGCTCCTCAAAATGAATAATGCTAACCTGAAATCTAAGCGATTACCACACAGCATGTCCCCCTAAATCACAAACAGTTGCCCTATAGCTAGAAGTCTTGTACACTATGACCAAGCTGGATTACAGTGTGCTTCAGAAGACAGAGATCCTACATCTTTAGGAGGTGCCCCTGGGACGTTTAATCAGGAATGACAGCACAGGGAGGATACATACTTTAGCTATGCTGTCACACCTTCAAGAACTTTTAAGAAACTGCATCTGCAACATGAGAAAGAAATTCTCTACTGAGCGATTGCTTCACCTTTAAAAAAAAAACAGGGATGTGGGAGTTGAACCTGATCAGCTTTTTTTTTTATATCTAGGAATCTGCTTTTAGGTGTACATTTTTTAGTTATTAACACAGGGTCGATCCAAGGAAGACAAAACACAAACCAACTAAAACCACAGATCGTGATCAAGTCTTTATTCAAACGTCAGTATTTAACCCCCTTTTAGAATAAAGACAACTGTGTTTAAAATGTGCATTCTGTCAAATTAAAACTTCATCCCAAGGCAAGTTCTTTTTCTAGGAAAACAAGCGCCTATACCTGCATATCTGCCTCGTTCACATGGGAGTTAACCTACGACCACAGCGATGCCTTCGTTCACTGCAACGTCTGCAAGAAAAACACGGGCTATGTATCCAAAGCAGCACGCCTCGAATTCAACCCTTTTTTTTTCCAAGCACTGTTAACAGCGGTTCAAACTTACGTAGAGGGCGGCATGTGTTGACGGAACCGAGGCCCGAAGAGGACACCTGCTGTGCAACTTGGGTTGCCTGTCGTATGACTTGGCAGACTACAATGTATCGATAGGCTTACGCCTGTGCGGCACATGGGGGCACGGCGGCGGCGGCCTCTCACGCCAAGCCCCGGCCGGAGCGCCCCGCCGTTGGCTGCGCCGCCTGTCACTTCAGCGGCGGCGAGCCCAGCGTGCACCGTCACCGCTCGCCGCAGCCGGGGAGGGGGGAGAGGAGAGGAGGAAACCGAGAGAAAGCCCGATTAAAGCGACAAGTTACGGAGCCCCAAGCCTGCCGACAGCACGGCACCCAGCCTCGGGAGGCCCGACACCAGCCACGGCGCTGCGGCGTCTCGCCCAGCAAGTCCGATATACGGTTTCCCCCCGAATAAAAACAGCCGCCGTGCACCCATACCGTAAAAAAAAAATACAACCACTTTCACGTAACTAAAATAAAAATGCGTACAGTATGCTTCTGGGCATGTGGAGAAATGTCATTTTTAAACATAAACCGCACATTTAGCTTCTTGCAGCTCACGACACTGATCTTACTACTGCAGCCTAGATAAAAGATATGCCATCCGTAAGCGACCGCCCTAAACTCTCTTACGAAACGTACCCTCTCGCAAACACGAAACGTTTTTTTGTTTAAAATTTTATTTCGACAAAAGCCATCAGTATCACCCCTACGCGATTGTTGGCATTATTAGCAGGCTGGTGTGGTACGACGTTACACGTTTTGCCAATCGTTATCGGGCACGTTATTATTTCAAGACGAGCACGTATTCCTCGCTGGAGCGCGTCATACTGTACACTGACAGCTGTGCAAGTTCAAGTTGTGTACTCGGAGATAATCGGTCTCTCAATCCAAAAGTGAAATTAAACCTCAGTCCCTCTCCCAACTTCACATGCTCCGAACATCCCTGATCTGATTGTCTATCATTTTTGCGACAGGACTTCCTGTTTATATCAAGAAGGAAACATAATTCTTAATAAATAAAAAAAAAACATATACAAGAACCATCATTACCTGATTTCTCTTTTTTTAAAAAAAAACACCCCGCCTGCTCGCTTTCTGACCCAGTCCAAACCTTAAAGGTCCTTCCCCCGGGGCCGAAAAGTTTGTCGTGAAAGTTTGCGGCGCTCAGTAACAAAACTAAAACTTAACTCGGGGCCGCTTTCAGTGTCCAGATCGAAAGCAAAACAAGTAGAGGAAACAGCGAGCTGCCTGGAAATCCCCTCCCGGACTGTTTGTTTCGCCTTCGCCTGAACCTTTAGAGGGCGTCGTGCAGAAGCGAGCCGAGGAGCTGCGAAGTCAGAGGCGCCCCCTCATTGGTGCACGGCGGCGCTGTCATCATTTCTCGGAAACTGAAATTTCATTTTCGCTTCCCCTCCGGCCCGGCTGGCGTGTGCGCAGCGCGCCGGGGAAGGAGGCGAGCAAGCCCGGCGGTGTGGCAGGAAACTCGCCATCGCCGTGCCTCCCGGGGCGCCCCGCCTTGCGCACTCTTGAGCGGGCCTGGCGCTACAAAGTGCCGGTTTGTAGCTGGTGGCCGTCTCCAGATTGCGCGCTGCCTGGGCGAACAGCGCTTTTGAAAAGGGGGGCGGTGGCCCCGGGCGGCCGGCCGCTCTCGGGAGTTGCTTGTTGAGGCGGACACGTCGTTTTGTTTACCGGAGTATTTTGTGACGGTGCGGGTGTGCGCGCACACACACACACACACGCTGCGTGTTTGTCAGTCGCTTTCCTTTTATTTATTTTTTCTCTCCCACTTTTAATTGTCCATAAAGGCGCTGCAGGACCGGACCCCCTTTGTGCTCCGAGCCCGACGTCCAGTTAAATATTTACAGAGGCAGAGGGACAGACGCACGCAAAGCTGGTTTCGTAATCGGCTTGCCTTCAGCGGCAGAGGTGCGGGTCCCGGCGTTAACGCACAGCAGGCAGTCGGAAGCCACGGTGTAAAACATTAAAACGGAAGGAAAAAAAAAAGAGAGAAGAAAAACCCGTGGCTTCAGCGAGTTGAGAGGGTGGAAGTTGTGTTACACGTGCTTACGACCATGGCTACGCGGGGCTGCGTTATTGGGGCTCGTTTTCAGACGCTGCCTTTCCTTGATCAAAGGTCAGCTGTTACTGTAGGTCTACAGACCCCTCCTCCAACCTTAAGAATGACAGAGCCGCTGGTTGTTCGGAGCTTTATTATCATTGTATGTATATATAATATAGTAACAGCAAAAAAATCATAATAATCCAAATAGGGGAAAGAAATCATCAGAATAATGACGTAGTTATATGTATTGCCTTCCGGGTTTAAAACTGCATGCCCTGACAACATTGCCTGGAGTCTGTTAACTGTTTAATAAACTCATACAGATTACAGGGACTTTGGAACTTTTTCTCTTCAGATCCTGAGACGACTGATGTTTTTCCTTCCTGTTCTGAGAGAGGTGCAGATGAACACCTTATCCGACACAGTTCTGTCATTTACAGAGGAATTAAATGTGTGTTGCAATGGTTTGTTGATTGCTCTTTTTTTTTGGCGGGGGGGGGGGGTGTTCTTATTTTAATAACAAGAATAAGGCATGAAATTTTCTTTAAACTGTACCATCCACATAACTAGGTCTTCCCTGAATTCCTCTCTCTCTCTCTATGGGATTTTGTGATAATGCCTTGGGGATTCTCCTTGGTAGTGTCCCGTTGTCTTCTCTGTTCTGAGAACATCACTCTAGGAATATTCTGCGTGCAGCATTTTGTGGGTCCGCATGTATGTGTGAAATAAGCTGGGCCCCCATGAGTGGAAACTGCAATAAAAATGCAATTAATCCGTTAAGGGCTCCAGATGGACACTGTGTCATAACTTGTTTTTCCTCGGAGTGGCCCTGCGACAGTGTATTACCTGGAGTTGCTAATCGTGGCATTTCCATAAAACGTGTATGACCGCATACGGCATGTGTTCTGTAGGGTCCGTGCCCCCACCCTTAATCAACCCAGACAAATTGTAGTGACATCTGCCAGCGTTGTCAAACAAAGAGGATACAAAGGCATCAGGTTAACAAGGAATAAGGTCACTTCTTTTGGGCTCTTGGGACACCAGTCAGTTCCATGGTGTCCCGTGACTATCGATCTATCAGATGGAGATTCAGGTTGCGTGGAAGCAGGGTGCCCAGATGCCCCTGGGGCTGTAATGCAGTTGGAAGGTGTGGGATGAAGTGGTTAGAAAGTGGAGGCCCGTTGAGCAGCAGTTGCAGGGGGCTTGTGGGTAGGGCTCGACCGAACATTTCCAATCATTTCTGAGGCTATTCCGAGGCAAGTGGCAGTGTGGGCAAAGGATGTTCTTAATTGAACAGATTAGCTGCTTAGGTGAACAGTAACTTACAGGTGTTCCCAGACGATACAAACAGGTGATCCGCTGTATAAAATAAACTGGAATGGGGCTCTCTAGGACCTGAGTTCTAGAGTTCTGGGCTAAAGAGGCTTTTTTAAAAACACTGTAACCTTATATAGTCTGTTGTCATCAAGCGACTTCTTTTTTCCATTACTAGCACAGGATTCAATGTTACTTCTGTGTCCCTTTCGTACATTATTTTTGTGTTCTAGTTGGCAAAACAAAAGTCTATAGTGTGCACTTCACCCTACAACAGCCAATACACTGGAGACTGACACATTACACACCTGTAAAGAATTGTAGCAGCAGCACTGTGTGAACATCCAAAAAACAAGAAGAGCCTGTTTGATAGTTTAAGGAAGTTCAACTTTATGGAATGTCTTGTATGTTACTATTTCAAACAGTCTGATGGTGCAAACATGCAAATTATAGTGCCTAATATAAATAGTAATTATGATTGTATAGTAATAGATTTGTACAATCGATCCTGATACTCTCAGAGTCTTTTTACATATAAACTTACATATACATCTTTTACACACAAACAAGTTTATAAATGTAGCATTACAAGCCGTTTGTGTTTTACGATCGTATTTGATCACATTTGTGTAACATATTTTCTAAGTTTTGAAATCTGTCCCCTCTAAACATTTTTATATGAAACTGCAGACGTGCTTTGTATTTTCAAGAATCAAAAGACGTCGACAAAAAGTTTAATATTTTGCTCCTGAAAAAGTCCGGAAAGTAACCCTTAAAAACCTGGCCCCCAGTGAATCCATATTAAAATCCCATCTCACTGAATTGTTGAACAGCACTATATCCTGAATTTTAGTGTAAGAAATAAATGTGTATGTATAGTGATTGTTATCTAATGGATTCGGGTGTAACCACATGAATGTTAAGAGTTCTAAGGGAAAACAGCGCAGCAATCTCCCTGTTCCAAGCCGATTCTTGTTCTCCAGTCATGCTCTGGCCTTATCAGTGTGGCAGGCTTGGTCGTACAAGAATGTTTTCTACCACCGAAGAATTCGCCTGGGTTTCTAAAGTCAGGAAGGGGCGAGGACTGAGGTGGGACAGGTTTTACAACCAGGAGCAATAAGGGTGTAAAGCCTGCTTCGCTTGCCTGAGCTTTCTGGGTTCAAGGTGTTCCGCAGCCGGATTGTGAAATGCGCGAATCGCACTTTGTTCCTGCCGTACCTGTCGGAGCGATGAATCAGTTACGTGTGCCGTCGTAAACACCAAGGCCAGCATACCGCTTGCGCTTTCTTCACGAAAAACCCACGTGTGAGGGAGCTCAAAGCACAGTGAGTGTTGTTATTTTACCTGACTGACACTTTTATAAAATAGAAACTTGGATATGTTCCTGTTCATACAGCTGGGCATTTGACTGAAGCATTCTGAGTAAAAGACATTGTTTGCTCAGCATGTAATTTGAACCTACAGTATTGTACACCCTTCCAGTCACCAGTCTAGAGACCCCTAAACCCTGCCCTAGTACATTTTCTAAGATGACACAGTGACGTCTGCTGCCGTGAAAATGTATCTTACTGCGTGAGAGTTTCATGATAAAGCCATTGTGTAGTGTTCAGGTCTCTCACTTTCAGTAAGGGTGTATTGTCTAGGGTATAGTCTATTTTTCAAGCTATGTGGTTTATACTGTACACAACCACACCAAATACAGTTTTTTTTAAAAAAAACACGATATTGCATTGTCCATCTCGTTTTCATGTACTTTATAGTGTAAGTATTTTAATATTTTATTTTTCAGGATATTTTAGTTAAGAAAGAAATCCAGTTGTAAACACACAATAGCGGTTTAAACTTGAACTATTTACAATCCCTGCTGTAATTTCAAACGTTTTTAAGAAAGGAATATTTTGTCTTTAAAGATGCAATACAACTAACAGTCATAAAAAAAAAAAACATATGAGGTCATGGAAAGACTATATGCAGAATATTTCGATCCTGTAGATACTGTACAGAAGAGAAATATGATGGATATGATAGAACTAAAAAAAGAGAAAAGCGCTTTTTCAATGCGTGTAGCTGTAACCTTTAAAAAATCCCTACATGATTCCTCGTCCATATAAATTGTGTTAAATCCAATCTGGTTTCCTTTAGGCATGTCCGGCAGGAAGAATTACATTCAGTGGTGATTTATTCGCTGAAGTAAAGGTCTCTTGTCAGCCTGGAGATGATGCATGGCATCTGTTTTTTCCCATGAGACAACCAGGCACCTGTGTCAGATTCAAACCTGAGGGCCACCCAGTGACTGACCCGTGTCAGGATCCTAGCGAGGTCCAGATCCCTGCCGTGTTGATCTAACATTTCACACAGCCTTCTGATGAAAATCGAGCCCCGGACCTGGTTCCTCCATGAATAATATCCTGGCGAGAAAAAGCAACCGTGACTTTCTTGCTTATAGACGACTGGGAGAAAAGAAACCGGCAGCGAACCAGAGTTCTCATGTCTGGCTTTTTTTTTCTGGATCACAGCAGGAATAGACATGTTTTATATTTTTAATTAAAAAATAAAAAAAAACATAAGGATGAAAACGAAAGATGATGCACCTTGCACACTTCTTCACAATCTGGGGCAGCCAGCCGGCAAAACAGACTTCTGAACTTTGATGGACTGTAATACCGCTATGATAAATGGCAGAGAAAACTTTCGAAAAGTCAACCAGAAGTTGTATCCTGCTTTTAATGTAAACGGGGCATTCTCGGTGTTGCATTAATGACACCCAGGGCTTTCTAGCACTATGAATCGGGCAAGGACAATCAAAGTTGCCTTTATTGAGGCCGCAGAGCAGGTGCACAGGCTAAAGAGGAAGGTGTGCGCTCCGCCCGCGTTGGCCGCACAGGAGACGCAGGGACGGTACCTGCAGCGGTGGAGTGAGCGCACAGGAAGTCCTCTTCTGGGATCTCGCTGATGTCAATGTCCTCCGCTTCTGCGGAGTCTGTCTCAACGCCGCCGTCGTACTCCTCTCCTCGGCAGGCCTGGGCGGGCGAGAGAGAGGAGCCTAAGTGACAGATCACGGCTTTTTTTCTGTGTTATTTTCCATG